CACCAGTTGCTCGACGATGCCTGGCTTCAGAGCGGGGCCCTCGTGAACCCTGTCCTGGCAATTGATATCCAGGCCCAAAATTTTCACTCATCATAAGGGGTCTTTTCCACCGTGTCCACCTCGGACCTGTTTGCTATGAGTGACCCTGCCCCAGACGACTTAGCTCCTAGGATCACTGGGATACGCAACCCCCTCCACTTTGCTAAGGTGAAGGCTTATATTTTATTAGGTAAATTCAAAAACGTGACTGAAAGAAAAACAAAACAAGAACAATACATAAAATACAGTATATATATTTAAATATTTATCTATATCTATCTATCTATCTATCTATCTATCTATCTATCTATCTATCTATCTATCTATCTATCTATCTCACTTGCTTGAAAAATCCCAGAAGAAAGCAAAAAAACAACAGAAAGCAACTCTATATAATCTAAAATACAACCCTCCCCCCGCCACCTCCTGAGTTTGTTAAATTAATTTTCCTCTGAGAAAAGACGTTGCAGCAGAAGCATAAAACCTTGTTTTTCTCTGAATAGACTCACCGTCTTTTGGTAATATTTCCACCATTAACTAATGTCTTTTTCAAATCATGGCAATCACAACTTCTTCCATCCGACCCATTCCTGGGGTAAACAAAGTCAGCACGTACCTTACTTGGTCTACAAACTAGCTGTCTCCCAATGATGTCAGTCCGAACTTAAGGTCAATTTGCATAGGATTTGGTGGGATTTCTAATTGAGGGATTTCTAACAAAGACAAAATGGTATTATAATTAGGATACATGTTATTCACAACGGCGGCACAATGGTCGACTGGAGAGCACATCAGCCACAAAGTGCAAAGGTCCGATTCCGGGCTCCGACCTTCCTGTGTGGAGTTTGCATGTTTTTGCCAGGCCTGTGTGGGTTTTCTCCGAGTACTGTGATTTCCCGCCATATTTCAAATAACATGCATGGTAGGCTGATTGAACACTCTAAATTCTATCCTTAAGTATGATTGTGCATGCAGGAAAGCATGATGGCAGAGATGGCTAGGAAAGCGCATTGGACTCGGAGGATTACTTCTAAGGGAAAAATCAGTCCTGGAACTTTGATGACACACCTTGTAAAAAGTTAGCCGCTGTAATAATAAAATGTTCCAAAAATTCCTCTCTTTCAACACTCTCTTCAGATCAATGATTAGTGTCTGTAAAATTCGTGACACAGAAAGAGTAGTTAACGACAAATATTTTCTGTAAATGAAAATGTAAGATTAGTTAATGTACAATCAAGATGTTCAGGATGATGCCAGTTCACCTTCAACTTTTTGTGCATCTTTTAATGCATATACAGTATTTCCTTCAAATTCTGATGAGATTTCAAATTGTACTATATGCGTACTTTGGTGACATTTATGACAATAGCATTTTTCATTCATATCCATGATTTGGCTTTTTCCACAACAGGAGTTTCCATAGGAAGGCTCTCAGAGTGACACAGGGTCACTTCATTCTTCATTCATTCATTGTGATCTTTTGACCCAGTGAGAGGCTATACATTCGGGTTTGATGAGACATTCCTTCCTGATGCCGTATGACTTGTCACTTGCACAGTTTTTTTCTTTCAATTGGGTCAGCTCAGCAGCCTAAGATTGATTGCAGACATGAGCCCAAAGTAATTTCCATCCATCCATCCATTTTCCGATCTGCTTTCTCCTCTCAAGCGTCGCAGGGCGTGCTGGAGCCTATCCCAGCTGTCTTCAGACACTAGGCGGGGGACACCCTGAACTGGTTGCCGGCCAATCGCAGGCAAAGTGATTTGACAGAACCAATTGCTGTGTCAGAAGTCAGAGATAAAACCTAAGCCAAGAATAAACCGACACTCATGAAGAGCAAATTGACTGTCAGCAGCAACTGCATGGCGTACCTATTGCAACTGCATACCTGCTATATGCACACACACACACACACACACACACACACACACACACACACACACACACACACACACACACA